TAAATATTTAATATATATTATATATATTTAATTACAATTTATAAAATGTATAAACATTTTATTTTTATATATAAATAATATATTTAAAAAATGTAAAACATCAAATTATATATTTTTAAAAATATATTACAAATTATTAATGGAAAAATGAAATGTACACACAATTAATACAATTAAATGAAGACCTCAGAAATGAAATAAAAACTGAAAATTCTACACTGGTCAATCTGTTGGTAGATTTCAGAGGATCTGGTTTAAAAGCACTTCTCTTTGAAGCTACTTGAAAATCAAGTAGAACCAGCTGGAACATTTACATTTAGTCATTAAGCAAATACTTTTATCCTATCGCAAGCAATTCATCATAAGAGCCAAAAGTGAGTCACTGGACTGCATGAGGCTGATGTGTTACTCGCCAGCTTGATAATGACCAGCTATCATGTTTCTGTTTTATTTAAAATAAAACAAAATAACTTAAAATTAAGAAAAAAGTAAAACAAACAAAATAAAAATATAATAAAAAAATAAAAATATAAAATGTATTTTCAAAACAAATGTAAAATTACAATTATTTAAAACTAAAACTAAAAATGTACAAATTAAAATAATTTAAAAATAAAAAATGTTGAATTAAAATAATTTAAAACTAATACAAAAATTTTTACATTAAAATAATGTTAAAAAAATGTTAACAAATATTTTTAAATAAAACATTTAAAATTAAAGGAAATAATTTTAAAACAAAACATAAAAATGTAAAATTAAAATAAATCATTTTAAATGAAATGCAATCAAAATAAAACACTTTCTAAAAACTTCTCATTTGCATCTCATTTGACCAGTAACAAACATTGCTACAAAAACAATAAAAGAAATGTTATAATCTTACCTTATACACAATTAGTCTCGTTGTAGAAACTGAGCACATTCCCCTGCAATTCTAATTACTGCAATGGGGAAAAATATATTATCATTACTGTCAGTTAACAAATGTAAAATGTCAAAGAAAAATATTCAAAAGTTGTCTAAATACATTGCAATAATAATGTTTATAATAATAACACACACACACTCTCACACACACACACACACACACTCACACACACACATTCTCACGCACACACACACTCTCACACACACACACACACCCACACACACACACACACACACACACACACACACACACACACACACTCATGCAGTCGCTCTGATTGATCAGTCATTAGCTCATCTGAACACAGTGTCCATTACAGATGCAGAAAACCCTTTATGTTCCTGCTGGAGGACTTTTAAGTTGTAAATTAGAGTTAGACTTTTTTTAAAAGTCGTTTTTATGATTTCTTGTTTGTGCATTCAGTGCTGTCTTGTTTCTTTGTTTTATATTTTGCACAATCAGCAGTCTTAAGTTTTGCAGAGATGAAGGTTTTGAAGGTTCGTTTTGAATATTCATGCTCAACAAGGCTACATTTATTTGAACAAAAATACAGTAAAAATAGTGAAATATTATTGCAATGTAAAATAACGGTTTTCTATGTGAATATCTGTTAAACTGTAATTTATTTCTGTGATGCGCAGCTGTATTTTCAGCATCATTACTCCAGTCTTCAGTGTCACATGATCTTCAGAAAAAAAAGGGGAAAAAAATGAAATTTTTTTTTGACAGTTGTGCTGCCCAATATTTTTATGATACACTACCATTCAAAAGTTTGGGCTATGTTTTAAATAAATAAATGAACACTTTTGTTCATCAAGGATGCATTACATTAATCAAAAGTGACAGTGAAGACATTTATAATGTTATAAAAGATTTCAAATAAATGCTGTTCTTTTGAACTTTCTATTCGTCTGTGAATACTGAAAAATAAAATGTATCACGGTTTCCATAAAAATATTGTGCAGCACAACTGTTTTCAACACTGATAATAATCAGAAATGTTTCTTGAGCAGCAAATCAGCATATTAGAATGATTTCTGAAGATCATGTGACACTGAAGACTGGAGGAATGATGCTGAAAATACAGCTGCGCATCACAGAAATAAATTACAGTTTAACAGATATTCACATAGAAAACAGCTATTTTAAATTCTAATAATATTTAAAACATTTTCTATTTTTTCTGTATTTTTGATCAAATGCTTTGGCGAGCAGAAGAGACTTCAATAATCTGAATTATTCCACACTACTGTAGGTGTATTACAGCAGTGATCGTCGAAAGGAAACATTTCTAAGTTGTATTTAAGTTTCGTAAGTTAAATCATATATACAAATGTGAAAGTAGAATTTAAAAATTAAATAAAATTAAAATAATTTAATGTAAATTACAACAAAAACGACATATTAAACCAAATAATTTAAAAATAAAACAAAAAAATCTATATAGCTTTAATTTATGGTTATTTCAGTTGTAGTTTAGGTAATTTTAGTATTTAAACCTATTTCTGTTATTTGCCACATTTCTAATTTTTGTTATATTTTGTGAGTTAAATCATTTAGAAATCAGATACAAAAAAATGTGAAATTAAAATAAAAATTAAAACAATAATGTAACATTAAGATAAATAAAAATAAAACAAAAATAAAATGTGAAACAAATGTAAAATTAAAATAAATATTTTGAAACAAAACAAAAAATGTAGAATTAAAATAAATTACTCAGAAATAACAAAAGTAAAATAAATTGAAGTTTGAAATTTTTGAAGAAAAATTAAAATATAAGATAAAAAAAAGAAAATAAAACATTAATTTGAAAATAATTAAATAAAAATTTAGAAATAAAAATAAAATAAATTTTTAAGCAAAATGAAAA